GTCCAACACAATGTTGTGGTTGTTGTGAATTGGTAGAGCCATGATCTGACGACTCTTAGACGGTTAGAAGCAAGCGGATTGTGCAAGACTTACCGTCTATTAACAGAAAAATGGTACGTGTTTGCAGCTTTTCCTTATATCGTTTTGAGAAAGTTCGTTTCTTGCAACGAGTTCCGTCATTATAGCAGGAAAGCAAAACTGACATAAGTTTTTACAGGCTGTTTTGCGACGAGAAGAAGCCCAGAATGTATTATCGCAAACTGACTCTCTTGTGGAAATATACAAAATCTACTGCAAACCATAGGAAAATCTTCAGCTAAACATATCGTAAGCTTTTCCAACTAATGCTGATGATTTGGTTGAGTATTTTTTTCACTCTTTCAAATATCGAACGAGACGATGTAATTGATTTATTTTATCTTAGCCAGCCCATCGCGTTTTAAATAAGTTGCAGAATTCCTTTCAGCATATGGAGGTTAAGAATTTCTTTTGGACTACTCGCGATGTGAGTACTCTCGTCGTTTATTTTTTTTTGTTCTAGGCCTTCTTGCGTAATTTAGTTGTAAACTGTTTGTTTTGCGGCGCACTTTGTTTGTGGTTCCGTACATTATTTCAGAGTTAATAGTATTTCAATAAACAGTTTAGGTACGTAAAATTAATTTACAATTGTGAGCCGGCCGCACACTCAAATCTTGTTTATTTACTTAGTTCTGACTCAGATTTAAATTTTTATAGCTTGTCGCTTTTGCGCCAATCGATTGTAAGTGCTGTTTATTTTTTAAAAATTTCCGAAATTACAGCGACTGATGTCATCCTTCGTTCGGAGTGATGATGAAATAAGACTACAGAATTTCTCAGAGGTTCATTATACCGGCAATTCCTGACATCCCCCATCATGCATCGTTCGATTATTCTGCCCATCGCGCCCAAGAGTTGTCATCTGTTTTTCGAAGGCGGGCAACAAATTAAAATTATTGTCACTGTGCTTCTTGTTTCTTCCAAAACCGACCGGCAGGAAACCGAGAAGTCGGCCAAGATTAACCTGGTGCAAACATATGGAAGGAGTCTGTTTCAGACTGCATTTGTCTTTTGCCGAAG